CTCGGAGTGTGCCAACTTACTGCGCTGGAGGTTCGTCTGGAGGACTTTGATAACCACTGCGTTTGCCGGCACGCCCTTAGCAATACGCTACGGACTGCCGGGCGAGGTCATCCCACCTCTTCCTGACGGGACAGTTGTCGCTAAATGCGTTATGTTCATCATTGTCAAACTTCGCGCGACAACAGTTCCGGCAGGAAGGTGGGGACCCCGCCAGCCAATCCCCGCGCATTTAGTGCGCAAGTGCGGTCCTCCACAGTGGCTACAGAGGTCTGCTGGGTCTTTACAGTACTTCCGCCCGTGGCCATAGCCGAGGCATCGCGTGCATTGGACCAGTGGCGACTGGTCCTCCGCTCGCACCCTCTGGAGGTCGATGTGGACCGAGCCCACGCCGGTTATCCTCGCCCAGAGGGTGGGCGACGCACTCAAGACCACGTTGGCCACGTGCGGGTTCCTAGCCCTTCTGCGATACCTTACCTCGAGTCGGTCATCCCCAGGGCCGAGGCCGTCAAAGAGGTCCCGATTCTGGTTCCTTAGGGCCTTTAAAATGTCACCATCGGTGTTGATTGTTAGGACACCTCTAAGGATCAGAAGCGGGTCTCTATTTTTGACGTCCTCGACGTTGAGGCCCGACCCTTCCTTCGCCAATCTCTCCTTGACCTTTCTCCGGTCCTCGGCAGTGCTAAAGCCCATGACGACCTTGCGGTCTTTGGCCTTCCGGACCCGGTCGACCTTAACCCATCCCTCCTTCGCGTTTAGGGTTTTCCTCACCTTTCCAAGGACCTCCTCTCCTGTGTCCTCTTCGTCCTTGGAGGTGACAACCACCGAGTGGAGAGCAGCGGGTCTCGCTGGCTGCTGCGGCCTCACAGCAGCCACGCCGGCATAACTACGCTGTTGGTCCTCGGCAGACCTGCTGCATCTAGTGAGCTGCTCCTGGAGAGCCTTCATCCGCTCATTACTCTCCAGGAGAAGCCGAGAGTGCTCGTCGAGTTTGGTGCTCAGTCTGGAGTCCGAGGGCACCGTAAATGTGGTGTCGGCGTCCTTAGTCGTCGACACCCCCCTTCACGGAGCCCCCGGCACCCTTACGAGCCCTCTCGGCTTTCAGGTCGGCTTCGGACTCAATAATCAGTTTCTTGAGCTCGTCCAGGGACCCCAGGATGGTCTCTTTGATATCCCTCCTGAGGTTCCTGGAAGTCCACTGCCTGTTTCGCCTTTAAATAATGGTGCTTGGCCCGCTGCAATCTGGTCTGCCCGGTGGTCGCCACTGGTGAGTGAACCAGCACTTCAACCCTTCGGACTCTCAACCCGCTTTGGGGTCGGCGTCTTTTCCTTAGAGGTGGAGGGGGCGCCCGGTCTAGCCGTATAAGCCGACTCGGGAGCCACCCCCACCCCCTTCGGACTCTCTACCCGCTCAGGGGTTAACGTCTTGCGCTTAGAGGTAGAGGGAGCGCCCGGTTCAGCCGTACAAGCCGACCCGGGAACCGCCCCCTCCCACTTCTCCATACTCTGTCTTGGCAGCTTTTTCACGATCTTGGGGGGAGTTGAAGGTGGGTTCACCGGCCGCTTGACCGGTGTCCGGAGTCCCAAAACCATTTTTCAGGGAGGTCGCGTCAACAATGAATAAAATAGATAAATTTAAAATAAAGTGTCGAAATAAATAGTCAAAATTTATACTAAAAATGTCAATAATAAAATTACCGCAATAGCGGGTTGTATAGGGTAAAATAGAGAGTGTTCCGTCAAAAATCAAGTGCCGTAGAATACTACGGCCCTTACTCAACCTAAAACTACTTAAAAGCTATCTGAAATGTCTTCCGCCGCGACTCTACTGTGGAACTCTACAGTGACTCTAGAAAGAGTCGCCCAGTTAACACCAATCGATAGCGCTTTCCAGGGGAAAGTCAACGGAAAAAACCGCGTCGCTCTACGACCAGCGGTTTCCGAGATATCACGCCTTAAAGATTTCCAAGATGGCGGCCGGTTATCTGGTTTCAGTCTAGACCGAAATTTAAAAAGTTATATCTCGAGAACCGCTGATCGCAGGAACGCGAGCGACGGCTTCCCGTAACGGGCGTTTTGCCCTCTATTTGAAACCTGCAAAATTTTTGGCAATCTGGAGGTCGACTCTATCCAGAGCCACAAACTATCACAAATCGTAGAGCTCACCACAACTAAGCGTGTACAAGAAACCGCGTCTTTCTAAGACGTCTAGATCAAAAGTTATACAACTTTTTATCAAATAAAAATGGCCGCCAATATGGCTGCCAGTTTTAAGGATTTCTTCTAAATCCGTTCCTATTTGTCGTATCCTATCGAGCTTGGGCTCGTTTGATTCGTCTTTTAATCTACAATCTAAGTCTACAATTATCTACAAAAAATATTTCAACCCCGATTTTTGGGGTGCAAAAAACATATAAATTTACAACAAAATTGGCAAAAACTCGAAAATTTTAAATAAAAATTTATTCTAAAAAGCTAAGATTATACTTATACACTACTTAGTCTAATTTTTACAATAGGTTGCGAAGTGATCAAATTGTTATTTACACCCCCACGTGTCAACCCTTAAACTTTAAAAAAATCGTAACTCCAAAAGTATTCAGCCGAAAATTATGAAATTTATAACATTGGTAGAGCTTAATGAGCCCTAAAAACTAAATAAAAAATATGGGGGTGTCATCGATCTTTATTTCGAAATAAAAAATTTTTGAATTTTGAAAAATTTTAAAAATTTTAATAACTCCGCAACCACTAACCTTAAAATTATGCTTGATAATGCGTTGAACTCGCCGCGTCGTGCCGCGTCAAATGAGCCGCCTCGCGCTGTCCTCGGGCCACTGGATCCAGGACCACGTGTCCACGTGGTTCCCGGTTTTTCTTTAATAACTCCGTGAGTTTCCACCGGAAAAATCCGGCCGAGGTGTCACAAGAAAGAGCTCAGCGAGCCCCGTCTGCAGATATAAAAATATCCAGGGGTCACAGATCGCGTTTAGGCAGCGTTCACGCTCAAAGTTTTTAAAAATTAAAAATTTGCACTTTGCACTGTTTTTCTTCACACTTAACGCGCTCGGCGCGAAAAACAGAAACTGTCACTAGCTGGGGCAACTATTCCCACAATTTTTGGTGCATAAATTGTAAAAATCGGAGCACAAAAAACCACTTTTTTCGATTTTTGAAACACAAAATCGGGCGGAGCGGCACTCGACTCGTAATTGACGTGGGTTTTAAAAGTTTGTGTAGTAGTTTCTTTGGAAATTATTTCTGATAAATTATATGGTTCTATCTTTAACATAGTGCACGCAATTTCATGTTCCATTCTTGTTCTAAGAAATGCAGGGCAGTTTCTTATAAGATGTGTCATGGATTGTACACTAGTTTGATCGCATGGGCATTTATTATCATTGGTTATTTTAAAACGATGAAGATATTCCTTGTGATATCCATGATTGCTAAGATACTGAGTTATAGCAAAATTAGGTGCCAGTGCTTTAACAGTTAGGGTGAGTTGCTCATAAGTAGGACATAGAGATTTGGTATATATGCCTTTGTCACTTTCAAAGTAAAAGTTTTCTGTTCCTTTAATGGCTTGTTGTCTATTTAAATATTTTACATGGCTTATTGGGAATTTGAGAAATTCATAAGATCGGTGGGAGGTTGCCGCGCTTTTGGCAGCTGCATCCGCTTCTTCATTGCCTGAAATTCCGATGTGACCTTTAATCCAGCAAAGACTGACTTTTAAATTGAGTGATTCAATTCGTTGTATTATCCTATGAATCGATACTACGAGGGAGTTGTAACTGTTTTCGTTTGCAATTTCTTGGAGACCTGATTTGCTGTCGGAGAAAATATATGTTGGATTGATTTTGTGTTCTATAATCCATTCGCAGGCTTTAGAAATGGCCAGGAGTTCGGCTTGAAAGACTGAACACGAGTCATGTAATTTGTATTTGCGTATTAGTTTTTCTCCGTTTGGTTTGTGTATCACAAATGCAGCGCCCACTTTATTGCTGTGCTTGCTACCATCGGTGTAAATACGATAAGAATTTATAATATTTTCTGTCGGTATTTGTTCTTCAGTAAATTTAATAGGTTTTCGCAAAGAGGGATGTAATAAATTTCCTGGTTTAGCAGGGACGTCTAGAGTAACATCAGAAGGTAGGTACTGTGAAACTTGTGTGATTCTTGTGCGCTCATTATCTGCTATTTCCTTTATTTTTATTGGGAGTGGGCATAGTTGAGCAATTGATATGCAAGCGACTGTACTCACGGTTGGTTAGGTTAGGTTAGGTTAGGTTAGGTTAGGTTAGGTTAGGTTAGGTTCCCGTGTGGAGTTATCAGTCCTCGCATCGGACGCGTCCCCAGGTGGCGGATAGGGTAATGCCACTCAGATATGGGTGGTAGCGGGAAACCGTCGCGGACCAAAACTGGCTGGGTTTGTGCGTACCTGTGGTTCCGAATGAAATCATAGGTACGAGGTACTTTTGTTGCTTCCCGTATCCTCTCCATTGAGAGGAACAGAGAATGTGACATGCGCGGTGAGATGCCAGGTGCACTCAGCTTTTGCCGACGCCGGGCAGCGCGTCAGCGCGGGATTTTCAGGGACTACATCCTGAAAAAAAAAAGGAAATTGAATGGGCTCAGGGTTCCCTCACCCGGTCTCTGGGCAGGCATGGGAAGAACCTGTATCGACTCTGCCACCGTTCGAACCTCGGAATCCCTTTGGCGTGTCGTGGATCATGTCTCGCGGCGCCTGAGGTGCCGAGGGCTCTTGGCTTAACCGCCTGGAGTCGCGAGGATGATAACCTCTATAAAAAATCACCCGAAGCTCAAGCGTGGCACGCCGTGAGGAGCTGCATGGCTGATGGGTAAATGTTCAGTCGTTAGCGTTGCCCCCCGTCAGGGTACCGGCCGACACCCTTGACGGGTTATGCATAGGCTTATCCGGGCAAAGGGGGCTCTGCTCGGATGGACCGTTACTTCCTCCACACTCGTGGGAAAAAAAAATGGAAAAATATAAAAATTATAAAACATCAGAAGGAGATAAGCAGGCTGGATCGGAATCAGATGCAAGCCTATGTAGCGATGTATCAAGGACAGCTTCTAAGTCTGGAGGTCGCTCCCGTGGGGCGAAAAAGAGACGTATTACAAAATCAATATCGTCCAGCGACAATGAAGCTTTTTTAAAAGAGACGAATTCTGAGACAGGAAAAGAGGTGACACCATTAATGGATAATTCTGGAGAGTTCGTAGTGCCAGGGCCTGAGGAAGCTCTTAGTATGGCTGAGAGGCAAGTGGAACAAATGGTTTGTGCTACAAATCAAAAACGAACTGCCCTGGGGCTACCTAATTTAGTCGGAGATGACAGCCGTTCGGCAATGGCTCTCAACCAACAGGTTCTCGACGATGTCGGAGTCATACTGATGGTAGCAGCCAAGTCGAGAAATCTGAAAGGCACATTTCAACGTGCCTTAAAGGATGCTGCCACGTCAATAAAAACAGTCGTGGAGGTCCTACATAAGAGGTCAGTGAATGAAGAAACGGCGAAATTGCAGGCTGAAAACACCTGCCTGCGCAGTGAAATAGAGGAGCTTCGTAAAGAGCTATCTGAAATCCGGCTTGAAATGGCGAGGATCAATAAAACACCTGCTCCACCAACTCCTCAGGAGCGAGGAGACAAGGAAAGTGAGGAATTGATAAGTTCCATTATGCGCCAAGTTGGTGACATGATGAATGCGCGATTGGAGGCGCTTGAGGAGCGGCTTCTCCCAGAAAAGCGTGTCCGCCCTCCGCTGGCTGCTGATGTGCGCAGAGATGTAGTAAATGATGCAAAAATACTACGGCGGAAGTCTGATACAATTACGAAGGCTGACAAATACGCCGTAAAAACAAGAATAGGCAACAAGAAAACTCCGGCGCTGGAAATACAAAGAGGAAACAGAAAGGGAAAGGGACACGAAGGGAGAACAACAGAAATGGCAACCAACCAGCCAACAGAATCACGCCCTCAACCTCCTGAGTCCACGGAAGAAGGATGGACCACAGTAGTGAGAAGAGGTAAAAAACGCAAGGCAGGAACCGTCAATCCTTCCAAGAGACCAGCATCTGTGAAACTGCGCTCCCCAAAATCCGCGGTTGTAGTTATAACACTGCAGCCCGGAGCTGAAGATCGTGGCCTCACTTATGCAAAGGTGCTGACAGAGGCTAGAAAGAAGATCGACCTTGCTAGCCTCGGTATCGAATCTCTGCGGTACCGACAGGCGGCCACTGGAGCCCGCATTTTAGAGATACCAGGAGCAACGAGCGGCGATAAAGCTGACTCCTTGGCTAAGATATTAAAGGAGTCATTGCCTGAGGAGGTGGCTAGAGTATCTAGACCAACGAAATGTGCAGAGATGCGCATCTCTGGCCTGGACGACTCTATAACTACAGAGGAAGTTGTTGCTGCCATTGCACAGCAAGGGGAATGTCCTGCAGAAATGGTGAAAGTAGGCGAAATCCGCAGTACAAGCTCTGGCACTGGTACTATCTGGGTGAGCTGCCCGGTACCTGCAGCCAAGAAAGTTGAAGGGGGCGGGCGTCTTTTGATCGGATGGGTGGCAGCACAGGTGAAAATATTGCCACATAGACCATTACGGTGCTATAAGTGTCTGCATAGTGGACATGTGCGCGCGCAGTGCACTTCAGATGTGGACCGTAGTAATGACTGCTACCGATGTGGCCAGACTGGCCATAAGTCAGCGAAGTGCACGGCTGCGCCAAAATGTTCCCTGTGTATTGCAGCAAACAGGCCGGCTGACCACGTACTGGGGAGCAAGAGGTGCTCGCCTCCAAAACAAAGAAGAAAGGGCGTTATAGTGGGTGAAAGGACCCCGCCTACGCAACCTCAAATGGAGGAGGCGATGGCAGTCCAGTAACATGATGGCTGATAATTGTAATTATCGTCTCCTTCAGGCCAACATCAACCACTGTGCCGGCGCCCAGGATTTGCTTTTGCAGAGCACGGCACAGTGGATGATTGATATAGCGGTGGTCGGCGAGCCATACTTCGTCGCTTCCAGGAACAACTGGGTAGGTGACATCGATGGCTTAGTGGCCATCATATCGTCGACGGCTGCAGGCGTCCCACCTTCCACAATAGTTGCGAGAGGTAAGGGATATGTGGCGATTCTGTGGAGGGAAATAATTCTCATTGGGGTATACTTCTCTCCAAACAGATGCCTTGCCGAAGTTTGAGACATTCTTGAGCGATTTGGGGGCTCTTATTGGGCAAAACCTACCTCGCCCAGTACTTGTCATGGGAGACCTTAACGCTAAATCTACTGTCTGGGGCTCTCCTATGACTGATGCGCGTGGCGAGGCACTAGAGGACTGGGTGACTATAACGGGCCTAACAGTGCTGAATCAGGGATCGGTCTACACATGCGTGCGGAGACAGGAAGGATCTATCGTAGACGTCTCGTTTGCATCCCCTGCCACAGCAAGCCGCGTTCATGGCTGGAGAGTTTTGGAGAACGTGGAAACGTTGTCGGACCATCGTTACATTCGTTTCGATGTCTCCACTTCTCCAGAGACTCCGAGCGTCGGTCGTCCGGTCAGAAGGCATATCCCATCATTAACCAAAAGATGGGTATTGAGAAGTATGAGTAGAGATGCTGTCATTGAAGCCTCTATTGTCCAATCGTGGCTGTCCCCACCAAATGGGCCTGTAGAGGTTGAGACGGAGACAACTTGGTTTCAGAATGCTGTGACACACATCTGTGACGCAAGCATGCCCCGCGCCAAACACCCACCTCCTAGGCGCCAGGTGTACTGGTGGTCTGTAGAGATAGCAGTTTTACGCACTAACTGTGTGAAAGCGAGGCGCCTGTACGCCAGATATCGCAGAAGACGGCTTCGTAACGATACTGTAGAAGAACAGCTATACGAAAAGTATAGAGAATGCCGGAAAATTCTGCAGCTGTCCATTCGCGAGGCTAAGACACGCTCAAGAGAGGAGCTCTTAGAGACCCTCAACCAAGATCCATGGGGACGTCCGTATAAGATGGTCAGGGGCAAACTTCGATCTTGGGCGCCTCCACTCACGGAGAGTCTCCAACCTCAATTTGTTAAGGATGTGGTGAACGTGCTATTTCCAGATCGGGCGGAGTGGTTACCACCAGCAATGGCCTCTGTACAGGAGATGGAAGAAGGACAGAATGAGGTGCCACGAGTGTCGCAGGAGGAACTTGGTGCGGCAGTCTTAAAACTCCGAGCAAAAAAAAACAAAGCTCCAGGTCCCGACGGCATTCCTGGCCGCGCCTGGGTTTTAGCCCTCAAGGAACTAGGGGAACGATTCCGCAGGCTACTTGATGCCTGTCTGGAGATGGGACGGTTCCCATTACAGTGGAAAACGGGCAGGCTAGTCCTTCTGAAGAAGGATGGGCGCCCCGCCGACTCTCCCTCCGCCTACCGCCCTGTAGTATTGCTCGATGAAGCAGATAAGCTCTTCGAGCGAATAATAGCCCGTCGTCTTATCGGGCATCTCGAAGAGATGGGTCCCGATTTGTCAGACCAGCAGTTTGGCTTTCGAATGGGTCGGTCAACGATAGACGCTATTAAATGCATCAAGGCCCATTCGGACGAGATTTTAGCAAGGGGTGGGGTTTTATTGGCAGTGTCTATAGATATTGCCAACGCTTTCAACACCATGCCCTGGGAGTGCATCAGCGAGGCACTGAAGTACCACAAGGTGCCTCCCTATCTCAGACGAACAATCGGGAGCTATCTCTCTGAGCGATGTGTCTGCTATCCTGGGCGGGAAGGCAGGATATTAAGGAGAGTAATGTCGTGCGGCGTTCCACAAGGCTCGGTTTTAGGACCGCTTCTTTGGAACGTCGGTTATGACTGGGTGTTGCGGGGGAGACCTTCCCCCGGGTGCTGGCATAATCTGCTATGCAGACGATACTCTGGTCACTGCCCGGGCGGAGACCTATGAGGTAGCCGTTCGTATTGCCACTACGTCAGTGGCACTGGTTGTTGGCAGAATTAGGATGTTGGGGCTGGAAGTGGCGTTAAGCAAGTCCCAGGCCATCTGCTTTCACAGGCCTCGAAAAGCACCGCCACAGGGATCCCACATCATTGTCAGTGATGTCCGTATTCAGGTTGGGTCCAATATGAGGTACCTTGGACTCATCCTGGATAGCCGTTGGAGCTTCCGCGAGCACTTTAGGTGCTTGGCCCCCCGGCTAATGAGAGCAACAGCTGCCTTAAAAAGGTTGCTACCCAATGTCGGAGGGCCCGATGCGAATTGCCGCCGTCTCTATTTGGGGGTGGTTCGGTCCATGGCTTTATATGGGGCCCCTATATGGGCTGGGGCTCTGACGGAAAGAACCATCGCCTTCCTGAGAAGGCCCCAGAGGGCGATGGCCGTCGGAGTCGTGCGAGGATACCGGACGATCTCCTTTGAGGCGGCATGCGTTTTGGCGGCATCCCCACCCTGGGATATAGAGGCGGAGTTCCTTGCGTCTATGTACGATTGGCGCTTGGAACTTCGACACCGAGGATGTCCCCCCTCTCCCAGAGAGTGGCAATTGCGAAAGCTCCACACTCGGCAACTGGTGCTTGAAAAGTGGAAGGAGCGTCTAGCCCACCCGAAGGCAGGAAGCAGAACTGTCGATGCTGTTCTTCCGGTCATGTTAGACTGGACAAACAGGCGGCATGGCTCACTGACCTTCCGGCTGGTGCAGGTGCTTTCCGGGCATGGGTGCTTCGGTAAGTATCTGTGCCGTATAGCCGGAAGAGAGCCGACAACTGAGTGCCATCACTGTGGTAGCGACGAGGACACGGCGCAGCATACCCTTGAGGTTTGCCCGGCTTGGGCTGACTTGCGTCGGGACCTCGTGGCTGTAGTGGGGGATGACCTCTCGCTCCCAGCTTTTATTAAAGCTATGGTTGGATGCGAGAGGGCGTGGAGTGCTGGGGTAACATTTTGCGAAAAAGTGATGTCACAAAAGGAAGTTGCGGAGAGGGAGAGGGAAAAGACGGCAACAATCCCAATCCGCAGCCGGAGAGCTGGGCGCCGGAGAAGAGCATATCAGGCTCTCTTCCACCCCCCGTAATTGAGGCTTAGGGGGCGGACACAGGGGGCTGTCCGTCACCTATTATGCAGGGCCTCGAGGTGGCGCGTACGGTGTGATGGTACGCCCCTCCAAGAAGAAGTCGTCGAGTCGGAGCCTGTAAGGGCTGTTGCCGTCGGGATTGCGGTAGTATGCGAAAGCGTTCCCGTAGCCCTGACAAAAGGTGATGAGATGTAAACAGTGGGGTTTTAGCCGGTAGGAGTCCGGCATAACCTGTCTGACGCCTACACGACAGACGGGTATCCATGAGGATTTCTCCACGTAAAAAAAAAAAAAAGGTTAGGTTAGGTTAGGTTAGATTAAGTTAGGTTAGGTTAGGTTAGGTTTTTTTTTTTTTTAGAGACTGTTAAGTTTTCTTACATAATGCATTATGCTATCGGGATACAAGTTGCATTATGGAGATTGGATCTCTTTAATTATTTAGTTTTTTAGATATTATTTTGGCATTCTTTTTTTCCTTTTGATATATTTTGTTAATTATTATATTTTTTTAATGATTTAACTATTTTGTTTATGTGTTTAGTAAACGTTTCTATAGTTGTGTATTTTTTAACTATGTCTGTTAAATCGTATGGCTTTATTTTTAAGTTATTGCAGATAATTTCATGGTCTATTCTAGTGTTGTTAAATTTTGGGCATTCTTTAATGAGATGGATAACAGTTTGGGATGTGCTTCCGTCACACGGGCAATAATCATTTGGGCTTATTTTGAACCTATATAGGTAGCATTTGTGAAACCCGTGATTACTTAGAATTTGCGTAAAATTAAAGTCAGGTTTGATTTTTTCTAAAACTTTGTGGAGTTCTTCGTATGTAGGGCACCACGTTTTGGTATATGTGCAGTTAACTATGTTATTGTAATAATCTTCACTCGCAGTTTGTAAAATCTTACGATGTATTTGTTTTATGTAGCTGATAGGAAATTTGGAATAATCGGGGGCTTTCTTTAAGTTCGTTGCTGATTTGGCTGCCGAGTCCGCTAATTCATTCCCGGTTACACCATTATGGGCTTTCGTCCAGATGAATCTTACTGATTTATTTCTTGTTTCTATGTTAGTAACGTTGCGGTGTATTGCTACTGCTAATGGGTTCGTGGTGTTTGGGTTATTTAACTCTAAGAGGCTTGACTTGCTATCGGAAAATATTGAAAATTTTATAAGTTTACTGTTCAGAATCCATTCACTTGCTTTTAAAATTGCAAAAAGTTCAGCTTGGTATACAGAACAAGCGTCATGCAGTTTATATTTCTTAACGACGTTTTGACCATCAGAGTGAATAACAACAAAAGCAGCTCCTACACCTTTATCAGTCTTGCTTCCATCTGTAAATATACTTGATGTTGCTGTATCGGAGTATTGATTTATATCCTGTTGGTTTGAAGCTTCCTGAAATTGGATTGTTTTTCTTTGGCAAGGGTGTAGAAGTTCTGCAGGTATCACTGGTGTTTCGAGTTCTATATCTTTAGGAAGATATATGGAGGTTTTACATCGCTTCGTTATTTCTAAATCTGCACACGTTTTTATTTTAGCTTGTAATGGATAAAGTTTTGCCAGAGAGATTGCAGTTGCCGTGCTTGTTGTTCGAAATCCTCTTATGATTTTAATGGCGAAATTGCGTTGGAGAGAAAGTAACCGTTTTTCTATATACTTATATTTTAGAGCAGAACTCCAAATACTTGATGCATAGCAAACAATAGGTTCTATTACTGCAAGATATATGGTATGCACATTTTCTGAATTTACTCCCCAAGTAGGTTTTATATATTTGACTAATTTTTGAAATAGATTGTACGATTTGTGTATTGTATGTTCTGCATGCTTTATGAAATTTAATTTTTGGTCTATAATGACCCCTAAATACTTTATTTGGCGGAAGAATTGCAATGGTAGACTGTTCATAACTATTTCACATTTGCGAGCTTTATTGGTAAATGATATCATTTGGGTTTTATTAGGATTAAATCTTAGTTTGACTTAGTTTCCCCACGATACAATTTTGGAAAGAGCTTCGTTAGTTGTAGTTTCAAGATTTTGGGTATCTTTTGAAGACACTATTAATAAGAGATCATCTGCGAAGGCTTGGAGATGACATCCATTGGGTAGCTCAGATGTTAAGAGCTCATCAAGTATCAGGTTCCATAGCATTGGACCGCAAACTGAACCCTGAACGCATCCCCGAGACATATACTTGGTAGCTGAACTATCCGCAAAATCAAGTTTGACTACACGGTGTTGGAAGTAATTTTTAAGAAGATTATATAAGTTGCTAGGACATTTAATAGTGTGAAGCCTATGAAACAGTGCTGGCCACCAGGCATTGTCAAAAGCTGCCTGTATATCGAGTGAGATTGCCAACACTTGATGATTTTGCAATCTAGCATTTTGTATAACGTCAAGTGCTTTTTGGATAGCAGCCGTTGTTGAAGTTTGCTCTTTGAAACCTAATTGTAAATTACTAGTTGCATTAGTTGTGTGTAAGAAATATGTAAGTCTTTTAGTAATTAATTTTTCTAAAGCCTTTCCAAATACATTATTGAGTCCTATCGGTCTATATGAAGCGGTATTAAGTTCGGTTTGATTGTGTTTTGGGATAATTTTTATATATGCGACCTTCCAGTCCTTTGGAAAGTGGCCGAGTTGCAGGCATCTGTTCATTATTTGAGTGATTGTAATAGGGAAAGTTTCAGCAAATTTAAAACATATATCCGATGTGAGGTGGTCTAGACCATTTTTTGGGGTTCATGGATTTCAATGACTCAAGTACTTCTTCTACAGTAAATGGAGCATCTGCTGGCGTGTCGGGTATTTCGTTAAAAGAATTACGGAGCTGCATGTGCCTTAAGCATGTATCGGGTCCATCATCAGGAAAATATTCATTTAAAAACGTTTCAGCAGTTTCGTATGTTGTTTTTGTGTATTTACCCGCTCTTGTTTTAAGAGTTGAGGGAGGCTGCTTCAAAGGTGTGGTCTTAAGTAACCGATTGGTTATACTCCATACATCCTCCTTTCCCTGCTTATTGCAGAACTCCCTGAAATGCTCAGTTGAAGCAATTCTAATTGCTTGAGCATATTCATTTCTTAAGTTTTCTTTTTCTAGCAACAATTCGGTTAACGGTTTTTTACTGCGTTTCATTTGTTGAATTTTGTGGTGATTTTTTATAACTTTTTGCTTGAGATTTTCTAATTTATCATTCCACCAAGGTGCTCGATTTGTTACTTTAGACGATTTTCCAAAGATCGCTAACCTTTTGTACTGCTGTGACTAATTTTGTAATGTATTTATCTAACTGGGAGGTGCTTAAATTATCTACATTGATATTGAGGTCTAAATATTTGGCTAACTCGCATTTAAACTGTTCTGTAATTTCATCCCATTTTATATTCTGAGTATTGTATTTAAATGTTGAAAGTTTTTTTGGTTTGCTTAACAAGTTGTTACTTAAAGACAAATCAAAAGTGATAGCATTATGATTGGATGATGGGACGGCGTCTAGTACAACTTTCCAGTTGGAAATTTTGTTCGATAGAGAATCAGATGTCATTGTGAGGTCAATTATAGATTCGCGATGGGTTTTATGTGTAACCGTTTCATATGTAGGAACGTTACCTGAATTACATAGAATAAGATTATTAGTAGTTATAAGATCTACTACCATATTTCCGCGGCGGTTGGATCTAATCGAGCTCCACATGGGGTGCCATCCGTTAAAGTCACCACAAATGATGTGAGTGTGATTTGTATGTTTCTGCAGAAATATTTCTAGACTGTTCATTGTATTAATTTCATCCTTCTTGGGTTCAATGTATACACTAATTAGAAATAGTTTTTTACCGCCAATGTCTATTTTAACAATACAAAGATTGGAAGTAGAGTATTCCGAAATACCCAGTGTGCAGCCTATAGTCCGCCTTACGAGTAGGCATGCTTTTACTCGGTGCGCTGTGGGGTATTGATATATATTATAGTTAGGGATAGACTTCATTACGTTGTCTTTTCCAACATAGGGTTCGCTGTTAAACACTATATCATATTTGTTGTCATTTATATATTTAATCATTTCATGCATCGCTGCATACCCTTTGTCAGTGTTAATTTGTAAGCATTTTAAAGGAAGGTGATTTTTTGGATTCGTTTTATTTCCGTTGTTAATAGCCATAGTCGGTTCTGTTTTTGCAGATTTCTATTTGTTTTTGTAAGCGGGGGCAACGTAGCGAAGTAGCACTGTGTTTAGTATTAATATTTAAATTATATTTCTTACAATGCGAAGAACAGTTATAGCAGTCAACTTTAGTTGAATCTTTTTTAACCGGGCAATCTTTATACGAGTGTTCTGATGATGAGCAATGGGAGCAAATTGTTGTATTTTCGGTGCAGTGTTTCTTTGTGTGACCAAACTGCATACAATTATAGCACTGGAGGTAAGCTGGGTAGTCTTCAGTATGCACACGTTGGTGATCGACGTTTATTCTTTGAAGTTCCACAATTGATCTCCAGATTGTGGGAGTAACCATGAACACAGCGTTATATAAATTTTTGTTTTTGTTTTTTCGCGTAAATCGGTAGGTTATGTCGTCGGGTGATTTAATGAGGCTTTTTATATTTGGATTTTGGTTTACAATTATTTCTTTAAGCTCACTCACAGGTGTGTCCCTGTAGATGCCTTTTAGAATTACCAAAGGCTTGAGCTTCTTGGCTATGTCAGCGTTAACAAGGCTGTCAGGATGGTTTATGGCGTTAAGGATTTCGTCACGCTGTTCTTGATTATCAAACTCAACCCTAATTTTGTGGTTGGACACCAGCTTTACTTCAGAGGGGTTGAAGGTGTATTTTTTGAAATGAATGCTATTACGCCACGCGTTTACGGTTTCTTTAGAGGAAGAGACTTGCTGTTTAGAGCTAACTATTATGGCCGGCTTGGTAACCGGTATAGGATGTTTCTCAGCAGATTTTGTCGATTTAACAACTTTGGCGTAGGATGGTAGTGATGATGGAATGATAGAAGGTTTGACCAGATCTTGCAGTGGCTGAGTGGTAATTTTTTGTGGTAGTACCGCTAACTTAGAGAACTCTTCCCTAATAGTGTTCCTGATTAATGAAACTGTTTTATTTTCGGCTGATGAGTTTGAATGACGTAATATCGTTTTTACTTGGTCGTACAATTGTTGCGTACTTCGTTTAATTTCGTCAAGAGATTTTTTGATGTTATCTTTGTTGGTGCGAGTTACACTCCTATTACCATCCAAATTTTGTAGGATCAATTTCGTGTGTTCACTAATATTTATCAAAAACCCATCATTAAGCTCTGGAATAGAGTCGGATCGTGCCCTTTCAAATTCGTCTTGTGTAACGTTTGTTGGATTTTCAGGTAGAGTCAACTCTTCAATCAAATCTAGGCTAGGAAGAGCCTCCGAAGTAGTAGAAGTATTGTGTAGATTTGACATTTATTATATGTAAGTTTACTTAAGTAATAAATAACCCGGAGGGTGGGGAGTCGATTTTTGTCTAAACTAATTGTTTTTATTTACGGGCTTAATAAATAATAAAAAAGATATAAATAAAAAGAATCGATGTTCTTAAAAAAAATCGATATAAATAAAAATCGATAGATTCCTGCAAGCCTACTTAAGTAAGATAAACAGGGAGGGTGGGGGGGCGATTTTTTTCCAGTTCTATATGTTTTATAAAGCAAATAAGAGTGCAGATGGTAGTTTCTACACTAGATGGACCTAATAAAAGCAAAAAGAGCGAAATAAATGAAGATTTGAAAAATTTTAAATATTTTAGGAAATTACGATTATGGGAAAACGAATTATGTGGAAATCAATATTTTAGCGGTAGAAATTAATTATAAAAACTATGGATAAATACGGGGGGCGGTTAAATACACTATTAACAAAGAAAATTTAAACGGAAAAGGCCACTTTTCAGCCGAAATATAGATGAATACGTGTTTTTATTGATGAATTCACGTAAATAAGAGACTGAAAATATGAAAATTATATATATAACGTTAGGAATTAACCAAGAAAACTATATAGGATTACGGGGGGGCAGTTAGTTACACTATTTAAATAGAAAATTTAAAAGGAAAAGGCCAATTTTCAGCCGTGCTATAGATGAATACGTGTTTTTATTGATGAATTTAAGTAAGAAATAGACTGAAAATATGAAAATTAAATATATAACGTTACGAATTTACTGAGAAAACTATAAGGAAATGTGGGGAGCAATTAACTACACAATTTAAAGAGGATTTGAACGAAAAATACCAATTTTTAGAAAAGTTATTAGCGAATTTATAGTTGAATTTATGTGATTGTATTGATTGACCAATATACCTCGGTTTAGGTAAATAGTGATTTTTTCCAGTTCTATATGTTTTATAAAGAAAATAAGAGTGCAGATGGTAGTTTCTACACTAGACGGACCTAATAAAAGCAAAAAGAGCGAAATAAATGAAGATTTGAAAAATTTTAAATATTTTAGGAAATTACGATTATGGGAAAACGAATTATGTGGAAATCAATATTTTAGCGGTAGAAATTAATTATAAAAACTATGGATAAATACGGGGGGCGGTTAAATACACTATTAACAAAGAAAATTTAAACGGAAAAGGCCACTTTTCAGCCGAATTATAGATGAATACGTGTTTTTATTGATGAATTCACGTAAATAAGAGACTGAAAATATGAAAATTATATATATAACGTTAGGAATTAACCAAGAAAACTATATAGGATTACGGGGGGCAGTTAGTTACACTATTTAAATAGAAAATTTAAAAGGAAAAGGCCAATTTTCAGCCGTGCTATAGATGAATACGTGTTTTTATTGATGAATTTAAGTAAGAAATAGACTGAAAATATGAAAATTAAATATATAACGTTACGAATTTACTGAGAAAACTATAAGGAAATGTGGGGAGCAATTAACTACACAATTTAAAGAAGATTTGAACGAAAAATACCAATTTTTAGAAAAGTTATTAGCGAATTTATAGTTCGGTTAGGTTAGGTTAGGTTAGGTTAGGTTAGGTTAGGTTAGGTTTTTTTTTTTTTCCAATAAGTTTACTCTACAGACTCGAAGTCCGTACCTTTTTTTTTGCTTTACTTTATTTTATTAACTTTTAAAATACTGTTATAAATGTACTCTTTACACTACTTACATTTCTTAAATATTTAAGCCTAAGCAGTGAGTTCACATATATATGTTTATATATTTTTTTTTTTATTTTTTTTTTTTTTATTTCTATTGTCTTACATTCTTAAGATCTACAAACTGATATGCTTACATGCGACATGCACTTACACGCTATATTTTTTTTTTTTTACACTTTTTTGTGTATTATTTTTTTTTTTATTTATGTCTATTGTCTTACATTCTTAAGATCTACAAACTGATATGCTTACATGCGACATGCACTTACACGCAATATTTTTTTTTTGGAATCATTTTTTTTTTGTTAATTAAACATAATAATTGTCGACCCACTTGTTTTTATATATATATATTTTTTTTTGTCCTCTTTTTTTTTTCCTCATGTAGTTATCAACATAATCTACATACTTAATGTATATGGCCTTACATGCTATGTTAATTTATTATATTACCAGATTTTCCTTTTTTTTTCCCTTTTCCTTGTACTTAATGTCGTGGAGAGTGCTCCATCTTTAA